TAAAAAAAAAAAAAAAAAAAAAAAAAAAAAAAAAAAAAAAACTATATGAATTCAATCGTTTGTATCATTTAATTACATCTGGCTGTCAAATGTGAATTAATGCAGCAACATCCGGTAAGTAAAACACGAAAATTGATTTATATTATCATGTATATATAAAAAGTATATGTAAACTTAAATACTTCATGAATTCTGTAAAATTGTATAAAAAGTGTATAAAATTTACAAAATTAAAATTGTTATCATCAATTTAAATGTTCCTAGCATTTTAAGTGCATTAATATTATACGAAGAAAACCGTGATATTCAGCATTCATCCTTAAAGTGATCTTAATTTTTACTTATAAGCTTTTTATTCATTTCTTTTCGGAAAGATCACCAAACATCATTGTAATATAGTTAGTTATACACAATATCTTTATTATTATATAATTAAGACATACACACACAACAGTCCTTACTAAACTAATTTTTTTCTATATTCTATATTCGTAAAGTATAGTACACGAAGATGACGTCTAAATTGAGATGCCAAACTCCCTATCCATAAAGTCTAAGTTGTTTGTAGTCCTTATGTATCTATTATTATCTCTGTTTTACACGATATAAAAATTTGATTATTAGGAAAATCATTCGGTAGACTGTTGTTCCATAAATGCCTAGGTATGATTTATGTACATAATATTGGCTGTATTTTACAATTCTGAAGCCTGCTGCGTATTCGTATCAAATTCCGTATGTATATGTTAATCGCCTATGTTGTACGTACGCGTTGCTTAGCCCCTAACCGCTTGCAAGTACACGTAAATTGTTGCCGATTTCTAGCTGCCGATATAGATTAAACCTGTTTACAGCTGGCCATACATTTCCTATCAAGGAAACATTGTTCGATTGTGAAATTGCTGTCGGTTATTATATTCAAGCTACGATCGAATTTAGTCGATATCGATAGCTATGAATCGTCTACTGAGCATCCACGCTACGCATATTTTGTGCAATTCTCTACATTTACAGAAATACAAGTGTATGTGTGTATAAATTATACGATTCTATATGAAAAAAATATATAATTTACATATATTATCATATATGCTTTTATTTGTTAGTAGAAATGGAGTAAAAAATTTTCCACAGGGTTCAAGTTTTTGCGTCCTTTCTTGATAAAGAATTATCATTACTTCTAATCTTAATAAACGATCAACGAACTGGACTAAGCCGGCGAATCGGCCAGATGAGTAGATAGATACTTACGTAAGAAAATAGATTCGCTGCCTTATAAGGCATGTATTGGTTTGAGGAGGTGGATAATAAAGATGCGCTGCGTTTGTTTTTCTAGCACTTTGCGATTAAGTAGACAGTAGTAGCAGACCACGCATAAAGTATCAATATTCTTGATTAACTTAACCTTCAGTATTTGACATACTTTCGCTTGATGACCGCACCAACCACGTATGAAAATGAAAGCAATCAAGCCTACGATAGATAAAAAAGTGTAACCGACAGTTCACACATATTTTTAACAAATATAATCTGCTGATTTATTTCAGACAAACAACGGACGGGAAGAGCCAAATTACTTTGCAAATTTGTTTTAATTGAAAAGAAATTAAAAGCTTGCAGTCCAGCAAGGCCTACTACTAAATACAATTTTTGATTTACTTTCATCATAAAAAATGATTTCTAGCTTCGATGCAAAGAGTCACTCGCTCGAAACGAAAGCACTCAAGTAGTTCAATTTTAAAACAATTAAGGCTTCTGTCAGAGAGCTTATTTCGCCTTAGAAAAGCCAATATAACATCTTGCTGCCACATGCAGGCTTCCTTCCCACGAGAACTTTTCACAAAGAATATACCATTACGCTCCGCTACGATATGTCAGGTCAGTATTCTTTTGAAGTTCCTCACCGAAAAGACGCGTTTATGGGAGAGCATCTAAACTGGTCGCACTTTATCCATAATACTAAACAATTTTCCATAGCTTCCAGGACCGAAATATGTCCGCAAGCTAATATTAATCCAAATATCTCGAAAAGTGCAATGCAAAATACCTGAACGATTTTCAGGCTTGCAGAGGAACAATGAAAGAATAGTTTAGTGTAATTTTCACCGAGTGTTTCATACGTCCGCATAAACTTTACATTTCGTTTACCACCTAAGCCGAAAGGTATAGCACGGCGAGTTCTCCGACTAATACCTCTGCATGCTACAAACAGAGTAAAGAAATCAAACCGCCTATCCTGCTTCCCTGAACAAATAAGTAAGTGGTGACTATTAGAGCAATTAAAGCAAGCAACGTAAGTCAAAGATAATTTCGATGTTGCTCTTTAGCTGCTCTCTCATAGCACATTCATATTTCAATGAGTATTTAGCCATTTGGGGTTCGGTAGTGTTTATTAATTCTATATATCTGTGTGTGTGTACCTCAGACGTAAATAATTATATTCTAGCATGCTTTTTACATCGACACCTATACCTATATACCTTATACCTACAACTGTACTAATTAACCGCCATAATAGAACTTGCCTTTCTCCCAAATATATATATGTATGTATGTTATTTGATTTCAAATATTTTGAAAAATGGATTATTAATGAAACGAGAGACACTCTTTGTTGAAATTTCTCATAAAATTGTGATTTTTGCACGATTTTGAAATTAAATAAGCTAAAGCTAGTAACCGGTTAAATAAAATATGTATTGTTGTAGTAGGGCCAGTACTTGCACTTATAGTGCTTTTCGCATTTAAGGTACAAAATTTTTGCTACGATTAAAAATTTCATTGTAAATCTACTATGCGTTCATATTTTAAATGTAATTTTCCTCATTATATATAAAAGCCTAACTAAGTATGTTTTCATGACTACGTAAATGATTTTCATGAAATTTCAAGGTAATGTCTACTTTCCCTTACATTTGATAAACTTCGCTATAAATGCATCTCTCATTAACGTCATAATTAGTAAAAAATTTAAAAGATTCCGTTATTATATGTGAATGTTATTAAATTTCGTTTCATTTAGTTGAAGATGTATCAGTATCTCATTTTGACTTAATACCTGTATAGCAGTATAGATGTAGTCTATGGGTAAGAGTAATCAACCACATCAAGTTCGAATTTTTGAGTAGAAGAAAGAAAACAGGTAAAGATTAAAATATTTAACGTTTATTTTCTCTGCTTAAAGTCGTGTAAAAGTGAATGTAATCGCTTTATAGGGCACTCTTGATTTAAAGGAAGTAAAAAAGAAATATTTAGTTCCACGTATATCGCCCATTAAACGCAATCTCTTCAACTTAATATGAAGGGTCTTTTATCGAGATTGATACCCACCCAGAGTGATGTTTGTAAGATTTGAAATTAAAAAAAAGAAAAAGAAGAAAACGTATCAAAGGCAAATTTATTTTATCGTAAAGTTTAGACATTGCATTTACGCTCCCAACTCACGACGACGCACACGATGGCTCCCTCCAATTATTAATCATTCATCTGCCCAGCATTAGTTGTGTTATGTCTGCGAATAACTTAACGTCGAATATTCGTCCCTGAATGTTTCAAAGCCTGAAGCTTGTGAGCACCGATCTGGATTGTAGTCCCAAAGAAATACGGTTCAATTGGTATTAAATCGCATGACCGCGGCGCCAATCCACTTTTTTTATGAACAAACGAAGAGCACCCACCCACAACTGAGCTGACACTTTGATGAAATATATCAATGATTTCCAAACGTTTAAGAATGTTAAGGCGCCGCATGATGCAACTGCAAATTGTACTCGATATTTTCATAGGTGAAAGCGTAAAAACAAAAAAACAAAAAGATATACTTTGAGGCAGTTTTGCATTGTGTTGCTCGTAACGAGAATCCTTGGTAAGAATTAGCAAACATTTTGTTATTCAAAATATTCTTGCTCTGAATTATTCAACGGTATTCTTAAATGACGAGCTACAAATAGCATGCTCCTTAAAATGGCTAAAGCTTTCAATTTTATTCTCTAAAAAGAACAAGTCTTTTCATGAATCTAACAAGCCGGCCAGACTGATGAACATCGCAACATTAATGTTGAACTTTTTCAAAGTTATTTCAGTCTTTCCGATGCTTCAGATCTATTCGCGAACCTATCAAATATATCACGCATTTTCAAACTTTATTTATCGTTTCTACTTTAATGACACGAGTGCCCTTTTAAATCCCATATACTGGGTATAAAAATTTTTTTCACAAATATACAAAGGAAAATGGATATGAAATACCGAGAAAATAATAAAAATTTACTACTTACTAAACCACGTTTAATAATATTCATAAACACTTAACCGTACCCATATACCTTAAGCGTATCTAGATAGAAGAATTTATAAGCATTTATAACAACTCAGCAACGAACAGTGTAGCTGTGTAGAAAATTTTAGTACAAGAAGAAAAGTCGCTGTTTATGACGTGTGTATGCGTTCAGGTTTTGGTATTTATATATAGCAATCTTGTAATTGCGACATAGACATATACGCACAAACCTACCGACTAGTTTAATATGTGGTATTATACTTATATGGCCACGTAAAAAGGGTTCAAGTTCACTTTCAACAGCCTTGGGGATTAAAAATATTTTTCAAGTTATTTGTGTGGGTAGGTGTTAAAAATAAAAGCCGGTGTTACTTTCAATATTTTCTCTTTATTTATTTATTCATTTATTTATTTAGTTTTTTTTTTTTTTTGCTTTTTTGCAAAATGTATGCATAAAAGTGAAATTTTGTTACTTTATCTCTTTATAAGTCTTTCGGGCTTTTCATGCAAAATTATTTAAAACTGAGTAAAAAAACAATTTCATTGCTTTTATGTATGTATAGATTGTAATAGATTTAATTATTCATAGCATAAGCCTAAAGATATTTAGATTTTAATTTTTATGTCGCTCCAAATTGAAATATTAAACGTAAAGTGAAAAGTAAACAATCGTTGCAATGATTGGAATATAGAACTCAAGAGATGTGTATCAAAATTAAATTTAAAAATGTCTAAAACATATCGTGATCTTAATGAATGCATGAACTCTTTCCTCCTTATGTTATATGAAATCGTCACTTCATGCGCATTCAAATTGAAGAAGAAAGAACTCACA